TTTTTTTTTTTCTCTCGGAAAGGATAAATTTTCATTAATAACTCAAAAGCGTACAGGGACAGCCGGCCATCAACCGATAAAAAAACAACTTACTTCTTCTGCATTTGAAGAGTACATGTTATTGGCTCACCTCCTCTTCTCCACAAAGGTTGCAGACTAGATCCACCTTAGCTCCCTTAGTGTTGAGTTGATCTTGAGTACTTAGGAATTTGTGCCAGCATCTCCAAATAAACATTCTGTTCTTGTTCTTCACATTCAAAGTCTAGGTGACTTTCCATATCCTCTTAGCCAATTTAGCATGGTAGCTTGATTAAGGAGTATTCTTTTGCCTCTCGATCATGTCTGCCAGAAATTTATACAAAGATTTTACAGACCATTCTGGTTAAGATGTCAAATTATTTTATCTTTCAAGCCTAATTTGGGGGCTGGCATTCTTAATTAAAATGATTTCCACATCCTCGGAAGGTTTAAGCAATTAAATCCCTATCCCACCCATTGTTTTCCTCATTGACCAACTCCCACACTCTCTCCAGATTCTGTCTATCATCTTCAAATAGCACACTGGTTTAAAGGTTGGAGTCTTAGGTAACCAAGGGGTTTCTGTCTATCATCTTCAAAATCAGCTACAGTTTTACAAATCCACTTACAACACCAACCGGGATTCTGAAACAAGACATTACAAACACAGGGAAAGCCCCTAACACTGTCTTAATGAGCACCTCTCTTCCAGCCTCACTCAAAAAGTTGTTTTTCCAGTTTTTTACCCTATTGACTACACTCTCAGACACAAACTTAAAAGTATCTATGCCTAAAGGAAAAAAGACCTGAAGGAAAAAGACCTGATAAATTGCCTCATTAGTCTCAGCCTTGGTATTATCGGAAAATAAAATTGAGGACTTGGATGTATTAACATTTTGTCCAGAGGCTCTTTCATAATTCTCTAGGATGATTTTCAGGGTTCTATACAATACAAAGGCTTATGGGTTTATACTGAGCAACAGATTGAGGATTTTGGTTTTTTGGAATTAAAGTGATCACTGTGTGATTGGTCTTATTAGGATGACAACCTTTATTAAATAAACTCCTCACACATCCTCACAAGGATCAGACTTAACAATCTGCCAAAAAGATTGAAAAAACAAAGGAGTGAAGCCATCTATACGTGGAGCCTATGGTGGTTCATATCATTCAGAGAACTCCTGATCTCATCATCCTGAGCAGCTCGAACATAGAACTCCTGATCTCATCATCCTGAGCAGCTCGAATTAAAGTTTGGTTCAACTGTGCTAGTGTGCTGTAATCATCTTCCTTACCCCTCTCAAACTACAACTTTACGTCCTTGGTTTAGAAGAAGTAGACAAACTTTTATAAAAATTTTTTTACCTCCTTTAAGGTCTCAGCCTCATTTCTACATCTGGTTCCACAGCAATCCTGAGCAGGTGTTCTATGTTGTTCCTTCTTCTTTTTTTGCTTGACACTTGCATGGAAGTACTTTGTATTTTTTGTCCCCTTGCCTTAGCCAATGCACTCTTGATTTCTGATGCCAGTAAATTTCCTCATCCCAACTTTTTTTTTGTTCGCCTCCCAATCTTTCCAGTTTCTATTCTTTCCAACTTTCATCAAAACCTCCAGTTTGGATTTATAAACCTGGATCTGAATCTGAGTTAGATATCTGTTCAGCAGTCCACCCAGGGAGAGCAAGCCTGACATTCCTGACTTTGTTCTGCAAACTGTACAGACCCTGCCCCGATACCTGTTTACCCCAAGCCTCTTTTATTACAGTTTGAAACCCCTTTTTCAGAGGCCATCTTGAATCAAAATAGAACCTTTTCTTCCTCAATCTATACTCTTGCTTCATTTCCAGTAAGGCCATATGGATATGAGATACTTTTGACTGGGGAGAAGGAGAAATCGACTCTGAAGAACCTGTCCAATCTCTCCTCCGCAAAACCCTCCCCTTGCCAGTTATTAACGCAAATGAAAAGGCGACCATGAAACCCTGCATCCTGCATTTCCATATTTCTAATAAAGGCTCTAAAACTCCCAAAGCTACCTTCTGTCTTTACTCTCCTTCCCTTTTTGTCCAACCCAGAGCCTAAGTCGTTAAAATCCCCTCCCAAAAACCAACAGTCTCCCCACATTAACCTATGCCTACAGAGGATCTGCCACCGACTTTCCCTTTCTTGATTATCAACACTATATTCATCAACATCATCAACATACCCAGTATATTCCCAACAGGTTGGGGTATGGGGGTCAGTTGTATACAAAGAGGCTGTTTCCATAGCGACCCAGGGTGCGTTGCGTCGTTTGATATATTTTTTTCTAGAAACTTCACGAAGAAGCACTAGAATTTAATTGAGCCATTTTGATCTAGTCCATTATTAGCACTATGCCAGGAGAATTGTCAACAATGACTCTTCCAGCTCTATATGCAATATGCAATGGACATAGATTATCAACACTATAGCATACACAAAACTTTACTTCTACCAAGGTAATTAAAGCAGGCTTCAATGCTGAAGCTATTACCAATAATATCTAAGATCCTAATATTAATTAAGACTTCAAAACAACCACAAACGCCCTTAGGATTAACAACACACCACCTGTCCTCCAACTTGATTTTTTTGCACACAATTTTGAAAAAGGATTTTTTCTTGTTAGTTTCTGAAACAAAAACAAAATCTGGGACCTTAAGGTATCCTTTAACTAGGAAATTGTAGAGGGCCCTCCCAGACGTCTACAATTCCACACTATAGCTCTCATTTAAAACTTTGGGGCCGGTTATGGCTGGTTTCCTCCACCATATTTACAGAAAGACCTTTTTCCAAATTTTCAGATTGACTAATTTTAGTTTTCTTACACTCGGCTCTTTCAGTTTTCTCCTCAGTCCTCTCTTCCTCACACACTCTTTTCTTATTTCAATTTAACACAGCACAGAACTTAGGTTCCCTGATTGATGTTGACTTTCTTTCAAAATTCTACTATCCACAATTACAGGTTTCTTCGAACCCACTTTTATTTCTCCCTTTTGTTTAATGTCTCTTAAGATCCTATTTGTTGCAGCTTGGACTGGGACTAAGATGAGATTATCTAGACACATTAAATCTTTTTTCCCTCTTAAGTTTCATAACCCTTTTTCTTCATCCTGATTCTCACTACTAGCTCGACCCAGTTTAACTTCTACCCCTTCCCATCTAACTACTTCCTCCACGATCTCTTTCTCTTGTCCAGACTCTACAGAGGTAGATCATGAACTTTCACTCACAACTCTACATTACAGTCTTCTTCTCCTCTTCCTTCAATCTCCGGGCTCCACTATTTTAAAGCAGGTATTGGCCATCAAAATTCCAAGTTTTCCCGGTTGGAATTGTTGTCTTCTTGTCTTCCTCAGATTGGAAGACGAATTGGAATTTGTTGTGGCCAATTACACTCGTTTGGAATGTCTTCTGTGTATGCCAAATTGACATCAGAGTATGCTTTAGTCCTCCAATATTTGCCCTCTTTTCTCCAAATATTCTTCCAATTAGGCTTAATTCGCATTCTGGCTTCCCAGTGCATATATCTTTTTCAGTAATTGTGACTCCACTTTCCTCTATTTCTGATAACCTGAAATTTTGCAATTGTTGTGCCAGATCTTGTTTCATCTCACCCTAACCTTAGAACTCAACCTACACGTCTGAACCAAACTTTAGTTCTCCTTGCGGGGACGAATTAATCCGAGCACACCCGAACAAGAAGCAAAGAACACACAGAACCCAAAAACGACGCGACCACAAAAGAAGAAACCCTAGAGGACAAAGGGAAACCCTAGAACATCAGAACCTTCCGAACACGACTATAACCGAGAGAAACAAGCCCCAGATGAAAAAAACAAACCCAAAGAACCAAAATACGAACTAGAGTGGAAAGAAACTGAAACGGTGAGAAAACAGATAAACTAGCTGAAAATTAGAGGCAATTTCCTTCCAGAGGAACAGTAACTCTAAGAAGAGACCACATCCTACCAGAGGAACTCCTATCAGTCATATATGCGTATCACTCTTATCTAGATTTACTGTGGCTCATATTTTGTTGTCTTCTTCACATTTATCTTGTCTTGACATGAGCCCGATACTCTCTGTTCGAAAACTCCCTGCCTGTACTTTGGGTTTATCTTGTCTTAAAATATGCATAAATATCATCAGTCTTGGTGAATTCTCCTCCATTAACTGTGGAGGCACGTACTACACATATTATTAAGTTTGAAAACCGACTAGTACTCCTTTGAGCGTTTTTAAGGACTTGAAACGGGATGGATGTGAAATATTGTGTGTAGTTATGCATTTGCTTGCGAATCAATATGCATTGTATTCCTTGATTTAGTTTGAGAAAAATGACATGAAAATTGGACTGGAACAGCAGGATCTATGTGTTTTTCGGTAGGATAAAATTCAAAATTTACCAGCTTTTGTTCTGATATTGTTGCCTTATTACTCCTTGTGATCCAAAATTGATTTGGTATGTTTTATTTACTCTCTTATTGGATTGATTACAGAATCAGGAGACAAAAGTACAAGCTAAACCAAGCAAAATACAGAATGTGTAACAAGCCGGTAGATCTCTCTCCCTCTCTCTTTAAAATCTTATGATTTATATTTTGAGGTTTTCTTATCCTTTTTTAGGTGGATGGCATTTTGGGAAGGCTCTTTCTCCATTTCCCGTTTTCTGAATTCCGAATACTAAATGACGAAATCCTGCATTTTGACGAGGAAATTCTTATCTTGTGTGTGCTATAACAGATTAGCTGTTTCAATTTCGATCTCAATGTAGCTAATCTTTATATTTTTGTAACTGTGATGATGCTGTGTACCTGCTGTAACTTTATGTAATCCCATATGTTTGTATGAAGTTGTTTGTTTTATTCAGATACTAATTTGCACGGCCGATGAAATATGTTATTCAAGAAATTATACTTCTCGTTTGAACTTGTGTCAGGATAATTTTCTAGCTTTGTCATACACATTAGAAAATCTCGCTTATATTTCAAGAATCATGACTAAGAAAAATGTTACCAAATTGCATCTAATTGGAGGGGTTGAGGGGGTAATAACCGTAATATATATAATAAATAAAAGAATTAATCTATTTTAATTTGTTTAATTACTGTCATTTATTCATTTTATTAGAATATAGATTGTTGCAGTTTCTAAGGGCTTATCTTTGTGTAATTGGTTAACTGTTTTGGCCTCAAAATTAGACAAATTTATTGAGAAGTCCCTATACATAATTAGCTGGCTAGCTAGCATGAACAAATCCTTTGACCTAAATAGTAAAGTATAATTTGAAATTTAAGCATGCCCTGGTGATTGTAATATTTTCATGGAAAAGCAAGATTGACTGGAATAATAATATTTGCTACAGAAATATGGACTTCCTCATACAAGATCCATCATTTTCCAAAAATAACAAAATTCTACATAAAACATCCATAACATACTCATCTGTCTACATACGAACAAAACTGATTCGTGTAAACTGAGAAGTGATTTACAGACACAAAAACACCAACAAGAGCTAACAAGAGGGAGAAGAAGTAAACGACAGTAGAAAGACTCGTGTGAAAAAAAAAACAGCCGAAAGCAAATGCCAAAAGGGACATCTGTACACTGCATGGAGTCTTTTCTCAAAAACATGTCTAAACTGCAGGTATATTGGCAAAGGAGAAACCTTTGTAACCCTTGTAAGCATAGTACGCAATCCTTGTGTAATAGAACCCGGGAAGGAATAGAATCCCACCAAGTATAGCAAAAAATATCCCTGTAATAAGTAATAACAATGGTAAATACTATTTTGTGCATTAAAAAAGCGATATGTGACCAGGCAGAAACTCAGCTCCCAAAGACAGATATGAAAATAAGCTGGATAAAATGAGCATGAAGTACACAGGGGCAAAGCAGAATAAACAATATCTCTGTAGTCAGAAAAAATCTATCATAATCATAGGGTGAACAAACATTACAATATGACTTGGCAGCAAAATATAGAAATTAAACCAGCTTCGTCCCTCAAAATCACCTGCTTATTTTGTCCATTAATCATGTAAACTGACCTAACAGCTAATCTTGATTCTGCCCTTAGACATATCCGTATGCACATACGTTACATGCAATCACGAAATGCTTCACACCCATTTTGAATAAAACGAAGTTGAACTCGCGAAATCCCTACATATACTTCTGCAAAAACTGAGTACCTCACAGATGAGCCGATTATTCAGAGTAGTCATATTACTTAAAGTAAGGCAATTGAAACTTAATTTAGGCAATCTGATGCTGCATCACTTTAAACTCAGATTGAGAAATAAAAATCGAATCTTTCTTAGTTTGCTCACCTTAGACTTCAAACACCAGAAAATACAGACTTCGATCATAGAGCGGTGACATTAAACAACTGTCTAAATGGCTTTACCATGACCGAAAAGAAAAAAAGTTAAAGACCAGAGAAAGAACAGGCATTTTGGTTTTTTGCCAGTTCATATTTCTATTCTCATACCTTCATCAGTAACAATCAGCAACTATAATCTAATTCACAACAACAATTTCTGAAATTCCATACTATGATGCAATACTCATCCATTTCTGAACGCACACACAACGAATAAACCTTCAAAAACAACCACAATCAAAATCGAACCATTATATCCACAACAAGTAAATAACCCCAAAACAGTAATAAACCCTAACAGTAACAGCTCAAGCTTAACAGTCAATAAACCACACATCGGAAGTTAAAAACAAATAATTTACCGTGAGCTCGGTCCCCGCCGACTCTATTGACGGCCATGGCGACGCCGAGCACGATCCCGAGGGCGCCGAAGACGAGGAGCGAGACGGCGAGGGCGATCTCCTTGATCGGGGGGCGGTTGTCGATGTACGAGGACTCCATCATTATGTCCTCGTCTGATATCGAGAACGCGTGATCCACGTACGCCATTGTTTTCCTTGTCAAAGGTATTAACTGGGTTTTCTTTCCTTGCTCGTATTACAGCCCAAAGATGTTAGGTGTGATAATGGTAGAAAAGAGAAATGCTGTTGCTTGAGAAGAGGGTCGATAATGGCAATGTCTGTTCTTGATTTTTCTCGATAGTGAAGAAAGAAAAACAAGGCAACAAGAAATTAAACAAAAATAGAAAAAGGAGAAGAAACTGAAGAAGACTTGCATTGCTGCTTGCTAGCATTTGGAGGTGGAAATGTTATAAAGACTCTGACTGACGGGAAATGCTACGGTCCGCTTACGATACCATCTCATCGGGTGTTTTAACGGTTGGATTTTATATATCCCGAATCGTGAAACCAAATTCAACTGAACCGGGTAGAAAATATCGGTTCCACTTTTACCCGGTTTTTATAATTCACGATCGATTTTTTTTTTTTTTCAATTTATGTCAAATTTATGATATAACCTGAACCGGTCAATTTCATCGGTTTCGGTTCTTGAAAAAAAAAATGATAAGAACCTGTCTGGGCCTAGGAAATACTTTTGGATTTTCCTAATTTTAACCATAGTAATTCTAATCGACTCGAGCAGGTCTCTAGGTCATCGGTTAATTGTTGAATTGAATAATTAATTTTAAAATTTTTAAAATTATATATAGAATATTTTTGTCATATAAATATGCATAAAAGTAACAAAATTAAATATTTTGTGTATAAAATTTGTACATTAAAGTGTTAATAATATGTATCTCATGATAAATATTTATCATAT